AGAATTCCCCAGCCAGCGAATGCTGGCTGGGGAATTCTGGGAGTTGAAGTCCAGACATCTTCAAGTTGCCAAGGTTGAAAAACACTGGTCTAGAGGGAGTTGTCTGTGGCGTTCAGAAAATCTCTCCTGCCAGTGATGGAGGTTTGCAGAATATTTGAAGGTTGGATAATTAAACATCTGCACAAAAATAGCCAGGCTCAGAGAGCACCAAGGGCCCCATAACCATCTCCTCCTCCTCCTCCTCTTCCTCTTCCTTTGCACAAACCCCCCTCCCTTCTAGCACTGATGATGTTACCTAGTTTGCCTCATGAAAAGTCTGCAAGAAAGCCATCTCAGAGGGCAGCTCACATCTCTCCTGGATCAGCCCAAGGGGCACCTGATACAGTCCTGTCCCTCCGGTCACCAGCAGGGCAGAAGAAGACTGTGACGGTCGACCGATGGCAGAGGGACTTGGCCAAGAACGTGTGATAAAATCCACCAGAGAGGCTAGTCCTCTTGAGATGGTCCTTCTGGGGGAAACATCCTTCAGGACCGCTCTCCCCTTCTCCCTGCCTTGGCCTCCAGAGTCAACGGACCCGCAGTGCCGCTGACTGCTCTGTCTTCTGGTGTTGGCCCAGCCGCGCCCCAAGGCCACTCCTGCCCCACAGGAGGAGCAAGCAGCACCCAGCTGGGAGCTTGATTTGCCCCCTTCTCTAACCTGGTGCCCATTTGAGTGAAAAGGTTGAGGTGCCCTAAATACCAACCTGTGGTCACACCGGCAAATTTTGCTGAAGTGGCATGTCGGGATTTATTTATTAAGCGAGCCAGAGGGCTTCTCTGCCGCTTCTATCCAGGAAATGTAGCAATCAGCTCACAAGAAATGCCAATCAAGCTCACAGACAAGAAAGGAAGGCAGGAAAACACCAGCACATAATTTCAGTGCAATAATAAGAGCAAATCAATGCGCCAGGCGCGAGATGTCTTCCTCTTCAGTTCTCCAGTCCCCAAATGCAGGCACATCTGTGCAGGCCTTCAGTAGGCTCCCCTTCACTGCAGAGACAGCCTCTCCCGCCGGGGATGAATTCGGGCCCACTTTGCAGTCCCCTCCGAAGGTCCCTGGCAGGCAGAGGG